CTCAAGCTCAAGGTCAAACTGTGCTACAAGAGATAATACTATTCTAATAGATGTTTGCTTTACCACTGGTGAGAAAATCTCATTGAAATCTATACCTTGGCTTTTCAGCACCAGGTATTCCAGATTTCAGCTTGTAAATCCAGTTACAACCAACAAGCTTTTGATTCTTTGGCTTTTTCACCAGTATCCAAGTGTTATTCTTCTTGAGAGATAACATTTCCTATTCCATAGCCTTCAACCCGTTCATATTCTCAGCATTTTCAGTAATTTTTTTCTAGCTTACAGGTTCACTCTTGCTTGCTTCATTTGTAACAGTAAGAGCATATGCAATGATGTCTGCATATCCCAACCTATTATGCACCTTCTTTTCCCTTCTAACTCTATGTCTTGCTAATTGATAATCTTTAAGGTTCTCAACTTCAGTTGCTTCTTCCAATGTCTCTACAATAGGTTGATTTTCATCTTCTAAATCTTCATTTTCTGACATTGGAGTAGGATCAACAAACTCCACCTCAATTTGAGCTTCGTTTGGCAAAGGCATTTGATCTTCATTAAAAGTGACATCTCTTTTGATTATACAGTTTTGATTCCATTGCCATATGCACCACAATTTATAGCATTTTACTCTTTCTAGATAGCCTAAAAAATGCACTTAAGTTCTCTAGCTTCCAGCTTATCCTGCCTGATATGAGCATAGGCTGCACATCCAAAAACCCTTAAGTGATCATATGTGGGAGGTTGACTGGTCCAAATTTCTTGAGGAGTTTTGAATTTCAAGGCAGATGATGGACTTCTATTTATGAGATAGCATGTTGTTGTGGCTGCCTCTCCCCAGAATTTTTTAGAACAACCTGAAATCAGTAACATGCATCTCAATTTCTCAAGTATAGTCATGTTCATTCTCTCTGCAAGACCATTTTGTTGAGGAGTACTCCTTACTGTTTTGTGTCTGGTAATACCAGCTTCCCCACTAAATTTATTGAACATTTCTAACACAAACAAACCATTATCAGTTCTTAAGTGCTTTATCTTCAAACCAGTTTGTGTTTCTACCTTTTGTTTCCATGTCTTGAATACTCACAATGCCTCATCTTTTGTGTTCAAAAGATAAATCCAGGCTTTCCTGAATTTGTCATCAATAAGTGACATGAAATATCGGCAACCTCCCATTCTTTCAGCCCTTGCAGGTTCCCACAAGTGAGAGTGAATGTATTCAAGATTATTTTGAGTTGCATGAACAGCTTGACTGAACTTCACTCTTTTTATTTTTCCCAGAACACAGTTTTCACAAAATTTTAGTTCTTTAATCTTGCTTCCATCAAGTAGCTTCTGCCTTACTAGCTCTTGCACCCCTCTCTCACTCATGTGAGCAAGTCTTCTATGCCAAAAACTGGTATCACCCAAAACTCCAACATCTGCTGTATTAGCTGCTATGGAACCATCTAGAAAGTAAATGCCATTTCTCAACAATCCCTTTATCAATATCATGGATCCTTTTAGGATTTTCATCACTCCATTCTTAGCTCTCATCTCATAGCCAGCTCCATCTAACATACCAATAGAGATTAGGTTTCTTTTCAAGGCATGAACATACCTTATTCCATTTACAAGTTTCTTCTGTCCAGAAGATAGTTGCAAGTTGACAGCTCCAATTTCTACAATCTTGCAAGCTTTGTTGTCTCCAAGAAGTACCATTCCCTTCTTTGAGTCCTTGAGATCTTGAAACCATTCATTGTTTGGAGTAATGAGCACCCATAATCAAGTACCCATTCTCCACCTCAATTTGGGTATGATGTGACTAAAACATCTCCCTCTTCAACATATGTCGCAGTCAGCACATCAGTTGATTCATAACCATCAGAGACTACAGATGTATCTCCTTTATCACCATAATTGAAATCCACCTTCTTCTGAGTCCTTTCGGGACAAAATCTCTTAATGTGGCCTTCATTTTTACACTTGTAGCATCTTCTGGTATCTCTGTTTGGTTGTCTAGATTTAGATCTAGATTTTCCTCTTCTTTTTTTTGGTCTTTCTTCTTTGTTCTTCCTCTCACAGTAAGTCCATCACCATTTACATTAGAGCTCATTCATTGTTTCTTCTGAATCTCCTTTGAGTTTAGGACTGACTTGACCTCTATCACAGTGAGTGTTTCCTTTTATATAACATTGTATCTACTATATGCTCATATGTCTTTGGTAGTGAACTGAGGAGGATAATAGCTTGATCATCCTCTTCAATTTTAACCCATGTTGCATACAGATCAAGGATTATACTCCTGTACTTATCCAAGTTCTTTCTAACTTCAATGACTTCATCCATGTGAAGTGTGTACAATTTATTCTTCAAGTACTATCTATTTGCCAGAGTTTTCTTCATATAGATTGACTCAAGTTTTTTCCCAAATGGCAAGAGCAGTGGTTTCCTATGAAACCTGCCTTAACACTTCATCTCCAAGGCTCAGAATCTGAGCATTGTGAGCCTTTGACAGTATTTCTAGTATTGCCTTTTGATCTTCAAAATGGCAGCTAAGGATTTATGATCTAAAGCAATAGAAGTACCTTGATTGACCATTAATGCCTTCATCTTTATTCTCCAGAGTGTGAAATCATTTTCACCATTGAATTTTTCGAATTCAAACTTAGAAGAACTCATCTTCTGCAGATCAGAATCAGCAAATTGGGTAGAAGGTGTGGATCTTATTTTTCCTTTGCTAATTCAAATTGACCAATCACCTGCAATCGATCTACGCTCACCGCACCATTTGTTATGAATATAAGGTGATAATAATAAGAATTTGCAGATCAAAGTTCACACACACTAATGCACTCAGTTCACACACACACACACACACACACACACACACACACACAACAATGCAAGATAAAATGAAAGATGAACGCAAGCAATTTATGAGGTTTGAACTCGATGTGAGTTCTACATCCCCGGGAGTAGCACACTCCAATCCACTATATCCAAGAGATAACACAACTACACATACACAGTAACACAACTACACATACACAGTACATAGATCAAATCACGAGCTCTAAACCTAGCTCAGATATGGCAGAAACCCTAACCCAAAAATACAATGGTTTCTTTCCCTTTCTCTCTCATGTCTCCCTGTGTAGTATTCTCTCTCTAATGTTGCTCACGTTGATTTCCGGCTCTGCAGATAGGTTGCCTTATATAGAAAACAGAGGCACATGATCTCATGTGCCTTTCCTCATATGTCAGCCAATAGGAGCTCAGCCTTCCCCTCCAAGAAACAGCTCCACCTACCTTCTGCATGTGCTCCTCATGTGACCATGAGCATGCGCAAGACACAAGCACATTACTCCAGTGGATTAAGTGTCATTAACAGCAGATTAGAACCGTAGTTTAACATTGACAGTAATCATACTGTAGCTGTTGTTACAGTATGATTACTGTCAACCACGTCAATATCAATTCTTTTGGCTTTTTATTATGTTTCCTTTGTTGAACGGTCAACATATTAATATTATTCTATATAAAAATAAACAATAACAATGACTTTTGTTGTGTTAATATTACAGTGCTAGAAATTAATATAGCAATATTATTGTGTTAACAACGTTAACTATTAAGAGATAGGGATTTCATGGAAAGAAAAATGAATATTTACGCAATTAAAAAAAAAAAAGGAGGATTTGGTGTATGTTTTCCCTAAGACAAGAGGTTTTATGTTGTGCCCCTAATTATTGTTTTGTTGTATTAATTTTATATTGTCGGATCATGTAACATGTCTTCCTATCTATATATCAGGTGTTGCAGTTGGTGTCGCTAGTACAATCGTATTAGTCATTATCGTAATAGTCTGCTGTGTTAAACGACAACACTCGTCAAAAGGAGTCCTTAATCACGCAAGTGACCAATTAGATATAGAAAAGTTTCTACCCCAACACGGATCACTCGCTCTCAAGAGATACAAATATTCCGAAATCAAGAAAATAACCAAATCCTTCAATGAGAAGCTTGGTCAAGGAGGATATGGTAGTGTCTACAAAGGTGAGTTACCCGATAAATCACTTGTCGCTGTCAAGGTTTTGATCGACACTGATAGCAATGGAGAAGAATTCATCAATGAAGTTGCTAGCATTAGCAGAACTTCCCATGTCAATATTGTCAATCTTCTCGGGTTCTGTTACGATCGAAAGAAGAGGGCTTTGGTCTACGAGTTTATGCCGAAGAAATCTTTGGACAAGTTCTTAAAAAATGATTGTACGTTAGATTTGGACAAATTGTACAAGATTGCAGTTGGAGTTGCCAAAGGTTTGGAATATCTGCACACGGGTTGCAATACTAGGATTGTTCATTTCGACATTAAAAGCCTCAGAACATTCTTTTAGACGATGACTTCTGTCCGAAAATATCTGATTTCGGGCTTGCTAAACTAGGCAAGAAGAAGCAGAGTGCAATATCGATGCTCGGGACACGAGGCACTATCGGGTACATTGCTCCCGAAGTATTTTCAAGAAACTTTGGAGGAGTTTCTTATAAGTCCGACGTATATAGCTACGGAATGATGGTTCTCGAAATGGTTGGAGAGAGAAAACTAGACGAAACTGAAACAATACAATCGAGTGAGAATTATTTTCCAGACAGGATCTACGAGCATGCTATCGATTTTACCGTAAAATTAGGCGATCTCGTAATTGAAGAAGAAAAAGAAGAAGAAACGGCAAGGAAAATGATTTTGGTCGGATTTTGGTGCATTCAGACAACACCATCGAATAGACCATCGATGTCTAAGGTTGTTGAAATGTTAGAAGGAAGTCTGCAATCCATACAAATTCCACCGAAGCCTGTCCTGTTTACACCTCCTACATTGGCTGCGCATGAATTTTCTCGACAATTCTCAGACGTTTTTTCGACAACAGAAACAGAGAATTCGGCTGATGTTTTACCTGTTGGTGCACAAGTACAACTTTGAAAGTTCGATAATTTGTCTATTATTCCAGCAACTATTTTCCCAATTGTCGATAATGTGTTCCGTTTATTTGATGATCATTTCTACATTCGATCTGTGTACAACAACTGCTACTGGTACATATAATACACATCTGACTTACTAATGTTACACCGAAAAGGTAGGCAAAATACAGAGGGCAAAATGGTAAAATAAAAGAATTAAAAAAAACAAATTACTTTGATTCCTCGAGAAAATTGCTGCTAATCCCCGCTCGATACAAATTCAAACCCGAACTAGTTTTTACGGTTATCTCAGTGTCTGCGGGTATAAATAGCACATCACCTTCACCAACTAACTCTTCGGTAAATGCGGGCCCCATTTCTCCCTCTCCGGAAACAACAACAAAAACGGAAGGGCCGTTTACCGCAGGAAAAACCGTTGACGTTTCTTGAGGAAGAATACACCGATCAACCTCAAACTCATCAAACGGAGGGAGGTATTTAACCGTATATGGATTTGAAGGAATCCCACGAAGAATCTCCGGAAAACCCTGAAATAAATATAAATATAATAATAAATTATATTTAGTTTACCAAGAAGAGGTCCAAAATCATCAAGCTAGTACGAATCAAATAAGGCCTCATTTGTTTCCTAAGATTAGATTAAAAACAATCTTACGAAAACCCAATTGTATAATTGGACGAAAAAAAAAAGTCTCCCGATTAGCTAAAGATTCCATTTTTCCCAAAAAAAATACGGGCTGACCCGAAAAGTTATCGGACTAACCAAACATCCAAGTAAGGGTCTAATTATTTAATTAATCATGACTAAATAACTGATAATTTTATCATGTGATCGATCACCTGTTTGTATGTGAGCATCGAACAGAGAGTTTGTACATCGAGGGTTTTCGGAGTAAGTCCAGCACGTACAACGTTGTCCGATGTTGCCATGCACTCGACACATTCACCGTGTATATACGCATGAGGTTCGTTCGCACCTATGTACAGTGCTTCGCCGGATTTAAGTTTAACGTAATTTAATAAAAAAGATGCTATCACACCGACATCTCCTGGATATTGCTTTTCGAGCATCAAAACGAGCTCTTCCTTCTCTGTCAGCTGCCTCGCCTATCAAGAATCCGTAAAAATGCAATCTTTACACACACAAAAAACAAAAAAAATCAATAATAAAAAAAAAAATTGTCTTTATTATAAAATACCTCGTGTTTGATGTTCAGTCGAGTTATCAACTTGACGACGACTTCGGTTATTACAGCCTTGCTAGCTGACATGAGTTTAGTAAATAACGACCGTAAAACCTCTTTCAGTTTCATTTCCCCTTCTTTGTCACTTATGTGTAATATTTGATCGGCATACGAAGTACCAACTACTTCAACGATCTCGGGTACGTGTCGAAGAACATTTTTAAATTCCTAAAAAAAAACGAGAGAAACGGTCTATAAGTAACACATTGAATTATTTAGCTTTGTTCAATCAACTTAAGTCCGCTGATACATTCTAAAAAAAAACCGAGAATATTTCATCAAAGTTTACATCTCGTGAAGAGTTGTCATTATTATGACTCAATTTATTCTGCTGTCGTCATTGAACGCCACGAAACGTTGTCCGCAAAATAATTGCGTTAGGCGGAGAAAATTATGTAGATACAGACATTTTAAAAAGGTTGTCACAACTAACGCCCACCGCCCGACTAAGCAAATCTGTAGTCTCTCCCAAAAAGGAATCTTGAAATACTAATTTTTTTTTCCGAAAGTGTCCAAATAACCGTAACCACATTGCGTGAATACTGGGAAAAGCTCACCGCTCGAGCATTCACTTTTAACTCTAGTTCCACCAAACTTTGAACAGACTAAACCATAGTTATGTTGCATTTTTTTGCATGTTCCTTAAACCGATGATTTATAAATTGTAAGAAAAGCTACCTCAAGACCGATAAAACCACACAACGCCTCGAATTCGGTGAGTGCCAAAGCCATCTCGGGTTTGTGATTATCGTCCTTGTAAACTCCCGGATGTTGCCTATGTAGAATTGCGGCCAAATCTTTATCGGGATGGGCCTGTATCGACAGTGCTTTTGCTACTGAAAGTACCTAACAAACACAAACAAAATGCTTCAGATTTTCATTATATAGACAGATATATATACAAAAGTCAATCACAGTTAAATAAAAATTGGATCTTGATTCTTCTAATTAAGGTAGAAACCAGAAAACAAAATTTGAAACTAACACACACACATATGGATCTTGATTCTTCAAATTAAGGTAGAAACCAGAAAACTAAATTTGAAACTACCACACACACACACACACACACACATATGGATCTTGATTCTTCAAACTAAGGTAGAAACACACACACATACAGACATTGCAATAACATCATTGAAAAACCCAAAATTTGGGCAAGAGTTTTTTACCTTGAAGAGGAATGGGAGATGTGGGCCCCACTTGTGCAAAACCTTATCACCAAGAACACTAGGGTTTTGCTGAATCCAATCCTTCAGGCTTATCTCCGAGCCACCACTCGCTTCCATCGCGTACGAGGGGCCTGACTCGTGAGTCCCCATCCAGAACTCGGCATATGGTCCACCGCCGTCGATCTCGTCTCCGTTGTTCTTAGCGTACAGACGCGCCACACCGGATTCCTCCCCGAGCTTACCCCACTCGTACCTCATCACCGAGCACCTGAGTCTAACGATTCCCGGAACGCCGCCGGCGCCGCCCATGTAAACGACAATGGCGAGGCGGCTTCTTCTTCTAGCAACAGGAGAGAGGGGTTCGAACTTGACGGAACCGTAGGAATAGCAACAGGAGGAGTGGGAAAGAGAGGGAGATTTTCAGGCCCATGTGGCCTTCTTGAAGGCACCGGATTTCCTTGTTTTTTTTTATTTCTTTTTAAAAGTTTAATCTACAGCATTTATTGGCGTTGTGGTTACATTTGGTGGGGAGGAATCGTCAAGAATGGTGGCGGCGTTAATGGGTTCTTTGGGGGAAACGGTGACGGCGTCGGTGGTGAAGTATGGCAGTTGGGGGAGGAGTAATTTTTGCGGGGGTTTTGACAGTTTTTTTTTGGGTCCATATCTCGATTTCAGGGCTATTGGCCCCCAATTCTAGATCTAAATCAAATTTATTAGGACTAAATTAATATTAAAAGACACTACTTGATCCTAATTTAAAATTTAATAGCATCCGCCGGTCGGTTTTGTAATGCTACACCCAATTAAATAAATAATTTAAACCATAATAAATCTATATATAATAACAGGCACATCCATTATGCTTAGTCGGTGATTATTTATATAGATTTATATGTATTTCATCTGATGTAGTATTTCATAGACTTCCATAATCAATCTATACATTTAATAAAGTGTATACTGGACCACTTTTCGTACGGTGACGCAGTTTACTTAATATATATCTACTCATTTAGTACATTAGGAGAAGTTATATGCTACACTGAGTTATTTATATTTGGTATTTGTTAATCGAAGATGAGATTAAATAACCACTCATTAAATACATATACACATATGTGCGTGTGATTATATGTAGATCTACAATTAACAATCATCCGGTGTTAATAACCGAACGTAGCATAGAATTTCCCATGCATTGGGATGGACTAAAATTTTATAAAAGCGAGAGATAAAGATTGCCTTTAAAATAGAAACTAAAAAAATATTGTTTATTTGAACATCTTAAAATAAACTTTTCTTTATAGACTTGGATGAGAGAATAAATGTATATGAACTAGGTAAGATGGAGTTAGGTGGACTTTGGTAGGTTAATTACATAGTGGAATTAGGATTAAAAAAATATTGTTTATCTACAAACACTAATATACTAAGATAAATCGTCGAGGAAAATCTTCGCATGTTGTCACTTAGGCCTCGACCCTTCGTTCGATTCTTAAGATAAAATTAATCAATATAAGATTAAATAATTTTATAGTCAATAACTCAAGATTAGAATTATTATTTTTCAACAATTACTTATCGGCCCGAACAGTTATTGGAACTAACACTAACATCCAATAAACTTGAATTATTTAATTAATTAAGACAAGTCTTACCAACCAAATTATGCTTTAGGGTAGGGCTGTGCCTTGGTTGGTTTGGTTAAAAACCAGCCATAAAACCAACCCAACCCATCCAACCAACTTTGGTAAATATCGGAAACCGTTATCGACCCAATTTACTTGGATTGGGTGATGGTTGAAAACCAATTTAATGGGTTGGCTGGTGGTTTGGTTGATGGGTCATCCATCTAAATATTTTTTAATTTATTTTTAATATTTTATTACTTTTTACAACGCTATATATTTTATAAATTAAATGCGACTAGTTCAATAATATTCAAATGGAAAAATCAAAACATTACGGGCATATATATTGCAATTAAACATAAATAGTACAACAAATAATAATCGTCCAAATATTTAGACTATATGTTTTAAAATTAAAATAGTTCAAATTAGATAATTAGGTTAGATTTATTGCTTTTAGGATTTTGGTCAATATTAAACAATTTAATAAATGTGATATAAAATAGAAATTAAAAATTAAAAATATTAAATACTTTAATTAAAATTAATAAATAATAAATTAATGAATAAAGTTGGTTGGCCGATATTAACCGACTAACCAACTTTTTAGCATATTAGAAACCATTATCGACCCAACTATACATGAGTTGGTTGCCATTATCGACCCAACTTCAATGGGTCGGTTGATGGTTGATTAACCATCACAAATTGTGGGTCGAAAATGGGTTGGTTGGTGGTTAAAACCGATCCATGCACAACCCTACTTTAGGGTATTACTTTTTTCCAAAAAAAAATTATAGTTACTAATGTTTTAACTATTATTATTTTTATATCGTCTTATTAAGGAGTCTTATCATATTATTAAATTTATGCATTATGCTTTTATTTTCCAAACACTTTCGAAAAACAATTGATGATGCTAAAGTTTAGCTCACCTAGGATAATGTAGAAAACGAGCTGGGAGAGCAAAGCTGATCAGTAGCTAGTCAATTCGATGCTCCTGAGGTCCCTGCGAAAAGAGCACACGTGAACTAAGCCGGGGGTTGATCCGGCGGAAACCCCTCCGACGCTCAAGTCAGATGTACGGATCGTAGAGAGAGTAGAGAGAATAAAACTCGAGGTGAATTGTCAATAATGAGAACGTACCTTTACAACTGAATAAAACTTCTAGTTATATGTCGTTGATTGAGTTGGGCTTATTTTGTTGGGCCCAAGCCTTACTTTGAAGGTATTTGGGCTTTCGTGTAACGGGCCCGAGTACTTTCGTGTATTGGGCCTAATTATTAAATAAATTGGGGCCCATTGGGTCGGCCCAATTAGGTATATCATTAAGCCCCCCAACTCTCGATTCGAGACGGGGACTTGTGTAGAGGGATCCGGGTCGTGCCGAGAGTTAATTGCGTCGTCTATTGAATTGTTTCCGTTGATGGTGAATTAATTCCTTAATTTAAATAAGGGATTATTGTATTTATTTAGCAGCAAGGTATATATTTAAGGGTTTTAAATAATATACCAGAGCCAGATAAATAGACTCCTTTTGCGGTGGAAAGCGTTAAACTTCAACTCCTACGTAATATATATGGGTATGTATTTTTAATTCTCAGTCTTCTTCTGTGCTATTCTTCTCTTGAAAAATATTTTGTGCGGTAGAGTAGATTTTTTTTTTTTTCTTGATTGCTTCTCTGGGGAAAAATATTTCTCATGTCGAACCCGGGTAATTCGAAATCTTTGCGAATTAAACTTCGAGATCCGGTTGAAGGGGGCAGGAAAACTTTTGGGACGGTGGGTATGGAACGCGAGAAACTTGTGGTATCGGGTGCGGAAATCGGATCCGCAGTAGAAGATGCACGGAATTTTGTGCAGATGAAGGAGAAAAGGGGGGCTGCTGCTGTCGGCTTGAGCCGGGTAGTTAATTTGAGAGAGGGTGCGCGCCTCGAGAAGGCGGCTGAGCCCCTTGAAGCGGCTGAGCTGGCGGCTCGCACGGCGCCCGAAGAGGTGATTTATGGTGTAGCAGGCGCGTCGGGCGCGGGTATCGGTACACGCGCGCGCGCGTCGGGTTCGAAGACCGAAGAACGCGCGCGCGTGGAAGTAGATTGCGGGGTGGTTGGCGCGTCGGGCGCGGGGATTGATAGACGCGCGCGCGCGCGTCGGGTACGCATACCGAAGGACGCGCGCGCGTGGATGTTGACAGCGGGGTGGTTGGCGCGCTGCCCGAGCGACGCGCGCGTGCCTCTGAGGGGCAGTGCCGAGGTGACGCGCGCGCGCTACCCTATCCCGGGGCGCGTGAAGGCGCATGTTCGACTGAACAGGGACCACGTGGGCCTGTTGCTACTCGCGACGCGCGCGCGGGTGAGGCAGTCCCTTTTGGAGGGACGCGCGCGCGTGAAGGCGCGTTTGAAGGCCGTTTTCTGTCCGGTTCGGGCGAAAGTGAAGGGCGAGTCGATGGCAGTGCCGACGGACTTGGTGTTTTTAACGGTGGGACTTCCGGATGGCGAGAAGCTATTGAGTCTTGGAGCGACGATGTAGGACCTAGTAATCGTTATTCTCGACGACAAATCGTGGATTTTGGGAGTGATAGCGATGGTTCTAACCAGTCACATTCGCCGAGTGAACATGCGGTGGCGAGTAGTGAAGTTGATCTGACGGATGAAGAGGAGGTGGAAGATGATATTCCGCCAGGTGATGTTGAGGTTGATAAGAGGAGGCAAAAGAAAAAGAAGCCAATTAATTTGGACTTAGTTGATTTTGATAGTATGTTGACGGAAGAGCATTTGCACTCTATTCGTCGTCTGTCTGGAGCGCCAAGTAATGTCGAGTTGTTGTTGCCTCAGAAGGGCGACCGTCTGTATTCGCCGCCCGATGGGTTTCATACAGTATTTTTGGGTTACTTGACTTGTACATCTCAGATTACTCCGCATCCGACTTTGTTGAAGGTTTGCGAAGAGTTCAAGATAGGGTATAGTCAGCTTACTCCGACTGCAGTTCTTACGTTTGAGGCGTTTCACCATAGGGTGTCTCTCGTGGGTTTGCCTGTGACCGTGAGTTTGTTCAAGGCGTTATTTACGTTACACCGGCCCAATATGACGCCTTTCTTTTGTTTTCATCCTCGCGATGTTACACCGGACTATGATTTGCCGATGTTGAGTACCGAGGGTTTCGTTCGGGAGTATGATCGTGCTCGGATGTCTGGTAAGGGTCCTTCTCACATGCTAGAGTTAGCTGGTGGAGACATATGTCGGGTGAGTACTTGTCTACTTAAATTTTTTTTTTTTTTTTTTTTTTTGACTTGTGAAAAATAAATTTTTTTTTTATATATATAGTTGGTAGCGACTTGGAGATATCTCATGGAGCATGGTAGGAATGCGGAAGCTATGAAGGAAGAGGAGCGGGCTCGAAATCAAGCGCGTGAGGATGAGCTTCTAAGCCAATTGGAGATAGCGCGGTTCGATCTTGCTCAACGCTCGGAAGAGCTGGCTCCGAGGACAGATGAGCTTGTTGAGAAGACAGAGGAGCTCGAGGTCATCCGAGGTGATGCGCAGGCGTATAAGGATGATGTTCACAAGTTGAACGAATGCTACGACCAGCTCAAGGAGAAATACGAAGTCGAGAAGACGACGGGGAAAAGGTTCCTCACGACATCAGGTGGTGCAGCTTACAAGGAGTCCATTGTGGAGGAGACCAAGGTTAATTTCCGAGGTAGCGATGAGTGTGCTGCTATGGTTGAGGAGCATGCGTTGGCTGTGGTTTATAAGCCATTAGTGCGTGCTTGTCGCAAATATCTGCGCGATGCGGGTGGGATCAGCGAGGAAGTGATTCGTGGAATGGAAGCTGGCATATCCGATGAAGAGGATGATGAAGTAGATGTTAATGGGACGGGCACAGAGGTCGTGAACGACATGGTGGTGGATGACTCCACTGTGGGTGCATCTTCCGCTCGTGGTAGGGGAGTTTAGACTTATCTGTTAGGATAGTTAACTCACCCCATTTATTTCTATTGCTATTATATATATTTTTTTTTTATGGATTTCGTAGTTT